TATGTTTCACTTAAAACAGTGGTTTCCAAAATGTGGTCTGCTGACTAGTCCAAAATGCAAGACACTGATGCGCAACACAACGGCACTGAGGTATATCTGCGGATTTACAACGCTAGAATCCGGGTTTTGATACCCGTGGTGGGCAGATGTAAGTCCCCCGGTGGGACAATGGTAAATCTTTGGATTTACAACGTTAAAATTAGGGGTTCGATTCTCCTCGGTGGACACAGCAGATAGCCCGATGTAACTTTGCCATAAGAAAACGCAACACCACGGCCGCCCGAGGCCGTACGATAGAACAGAACAGGTGGGGTAGGACCAGTAGATGGTTCGTGGGGTCTTTTTGCCCCATCGAAGTGGTCTACGGACAAAAATGTCTTATTTAAGATGTTTTTACGCTTTGTACTTGACTAGCATTTTTATGTTGCATCGTTATGTTACATTTTTTTAACTTTATGGATGTTTTACTTGTTTAATCCTTCGTTTGCGGCTTGTGTAAATCTGCTTACCACCCAATGCGCACAAAATGCGTGCATTATATGATGTCAACCACAGTTGAATGGTTAAAACCGTTGTGTCCTCAAGTTTTAGCCCGTGTTTTCCAGCAAGAAAAATTTCTTTAATGCTGTTACCAACTTGCATCCACTCTCTCTCCCTATCGGCCAGGTGGTTAGGGCGCTTGACTCGCAATCTGAGGGTCGCGGGTTCGAATCCCCGTCCTACCAAATTTGCTCGTCCTTTCAGCTGTCGGGTCGTTATCATGTGTCAGTCCCACTAGTCGTTGGTAAAAGAATAGCCCAAGAGTTGACGGTGGGTGGTGATTACTAGCTGCCTTCCCTCTAGTCTTTCACTGCTAAATTGGGGATGGCTAGCGCAGATAGCCCTCGTGTAGGATTGCGCGAAATTCAAAAACAAACCAAGCCAAACTTTCTCTACCACATGGCTGATCTGGTGGTTAGTGTGCAGGACTGCGAATCAAAGGGGTCCATGTTTTGCGTCGCATTGCAGAAAAAGAAGAAAAAATTGCGCTTCTCACTTTGGAAGCTATCGGGGCGTTATAAGAGTGATGGTCAAATCCCTCTCATTATTAAGTTACAGTAGCCCAAGAGTTGGCGATGGTTACTTTTGACAAGCCACCTATCAGTTTCGAATTAAGGACGACTAGCGCGGGCACTTCTTGAATAGCTATGCACTATTATTCGAAACTAAACGAAAACTCATTATATTGCACAAAGAATTTTCATCATTCTTACAGATTTTCCAATATTTTGTTTTTCATTGTAGTTGACTCTGACTCTTTCAATTTTGACACCAGCAGGATTATACTGCCTAGCGTAACTAATTACATGAAAATTAGAATATTGGTATCAACGAACATTTTATATCAAGTGTTTTAATTTATGTTTCTCAATCAAACAGCTAAATTTTAGTGCTACAGTTAAAATATAAAATTAACAGAATAAAAATGTATGCTACGCTTGTTGTTTTTGTTAAGCACAAAGCTACACAAATGACTATTTGTGCTCTACCCAGTTTCTAGCAGTATAAGCCCGCAGACATACCTCTGTGCTACTGGGGGGGGGGCATATTTTACTGAAGAATGTATTGTCCTCTTAGCTTCTCGCCCCCCAGTGGTACAGCTGTATGTCTGCGGACTTACAACGCTAGAAACCGGGTTTCGATACCTGTGGTGGGCAGAGCACAAATAGCTCATTGTGTAGCTTTGTGCATAAATTCAAACAAACAAACTTAGCTTCTCACAATAAACCGTTTTCGAAAATAGTGAACAGTGTACTCACGGGAACAACTATTTAAAATATTATCTTATTATAAGTATCAGCTAGCGTATTAGCACACGTTTATCAATTATGTACGTATTGTGCAAATTGGTAAATAAACGAAATTGAAATTAAACAACAACAAATAACGTGAAGAGACACAGTGGTATTGTTCTGTTATGCAAATACCGTGTATTTAATTTTCCTGTAGCCTATCCTATATATATTCACGAAATTTGGAATTTTTCTAATTGTCTTAAATGGAACATTTTAAATCCATTTCCACCATGTAGCTGTTGCTTTCCGTAGCATATTCGCTGAATGAAGCTACTTATTGTTTCGTGAAATGGTTGTATTGTGTTCTAAGTTACTTCGTGTATTTGGGACACTTCATGACAGGAATTTAGTTTTTAAAGGAATAAACTTTACTCAACTGGGTGTTCAGGGATATTGTTACCCCCCCCCCCCTCCTTTCGTCCCGCTCGCGATATTTCTGTTTGTTACAATCGTGGGGTATTTAAATTTTAGCTCAAGAGGTAGGTCCTACGTTGTTTACAGACTTGGGTTCAGAGTATGGAGGTGTGACTGAAGCAGTGACATGTCCGGAGGATTCCAGGACAGAGAGAGAAGAACCAAGGCTGATGACATGGCGTCGAGAAAGGAAACATGGCTGATAACGTGGCGTCGAGAGAAGAAACAAGGCGACAAAGTACGCTGAAATAAACTTCCCATTATCAGGGGGTGGCTGGGATCTGTAAATCCAATGCCACCGCTGGGATCGTTAAATCCAAGTGCCTTAGAATTTGTTGTGGGGGGGGGGATACCCCGAGAAAAACCACTTTCACAGGACATGCGTATTTGGGATTACTCCAAGGTTATCACTTAGGTCAGATTTTGCTTCCGAATACTTGTGAACTACTTTTATGATTGGTCAGCTACAGAGAGAATGTGGATCATGAGATTAGTTTTGGCGCTTTCACAGATATTATTTTCGTCTTTGAAAGAACCACAAGGCCAACTGTAAAGTGTTGTGTTTTCGTGTAGGTTATTTATTGTACATGCTGACCAGGCCATTCCATACTTCATATTAATTTGCCTTCCGCTTGTAAATTTTATTTTATTTTAATTTTGCTATTACATCATGTAAGACATGCGACGTAATCGTATAATATAAAATATATAGTATTCAGTTGATCGAATTTGTTTACGTTCTTCGGATACTTGTTCTCACACTTATATTCCATCTAACTAACCAACTCTTTGAAATCTTGTTACATGAAGGAGTGGTGGTTTAAGTACTATTCCTCTAAATAGGATTACCGAAGTGTAACTGTTAATTTGTTAAATGTTTTAATATAAAATGTATTATTATAATTTTGTGTTTTGCGAATGGACGATAACATTATTAGAACAAAACAGTGATTATTAACACAAACAAAAAAAAATCGCTTGAAATAAATAAGTAAATAAAGTTATGTATGTCAGTTGCAATAAAAACCCTGCAGAAGGTTTAACCCCGAAAACAGATAACTGCGGTAAAAGCACAAAAAAAGGTTATAAAAGTATCATGTTTCTATTTCCAGGTGTTTTACTGAATTATTACATTTCCTTACATTCAACAGAAAAGTACTTTACGAACAAGTGTACTGTAAGATAGTGTAAAAATGTAATAGAAATATAAAACGTACTGTTTCGCAAGAAAATTTAATTTTCACCTTGTAATTGGATTTCATAACCCGTGTCCAATCTTTGTGGAGCAAGAATAATTAACATACGGAGTAGGTGCTCACATTTAAAAGTTGCTAAAATCATGACGTAAAAAAAAAGGCCTTCCTTCACCTTAAGGGAAAAACGTACACAACAGATCATGGTGTATAGGCAGGTTTGTAATGTGTGTGTGTGGATTTCTGTTGACTCAGCTTTTTTGTTGATTGTAATAGCGGATATCTAGTATAGTAATAAGAAGGGACTGAGTTTAATGGTTACTTAGGTGAAATTCTGAGAATAGCAAATATACGTTTAACATCAACACATTATCGTATGATAAATTATAACTAATAAAACACACGTGGATGTGTGTGTGTGTGCTTATATGTGTCTATACGACCGATTTTATCATTACGAGTTATCAGTTTTTATTTCTACTTGAGTATGCAAAAAACAAATATTTAAGTGCAAATTGACGAGAATATTATCACCATAAGACAGTGATTACAAATAATCATAACACAAACTCACACACACAAAAAAGGTGAGGAAATGAAATATTGTAAGTTGCAGTTAAAGACTTCGTGTTTAACCACGAAGATAGATAACTGTGGTATCCCTCTTGACCCGCATCATCAGACAAGGGTAAGAAACCTTAAAGTTTATAAAATATATTTGACGTAGGCAGGGGGTGAAAGGCAGGTGTTTCAACATACAAGATCTCCAGTTCAGTTGTCATTCGTTCACTATCCGCTGTTAGTTGTATTAATGAGAAACCACCAAGGGAAAGTAAAGAAGAGTTAATAATATTATGTCAACCAGGGGTCCCTTTCAGCGTTGTAATAAAATAATGTCATGTCAGTATAATGTTAACGAATTACAATGCCCTTTGTTCTGACAATCAAAAAATAAGGACTTTGATAAAGACTACAAAATACAATAAATCTGATGCATTCAAAACTTTCAAAATGCCACCCTTGATTATTTATTGTAATAAACAAATGTAATCTAGTGCAGCGTAATATTTATTTTTTATCGATTATCGATTTGTTTGATTATTTTGATTTTATTTATATTGTATATTGCTAAGCGCAAAGCTGCACGATGGGTTATCTGTGCGCTGCCTACCACGGGTATCGAAACACGATTTGTAGCGTTATAAAGCCTCAGATGTTACACTGAGCCATCGGGGGCATAGATACGTGTGAGTGGACTGTACGTTAAAACATGTAGAAACCAAATCCCAAGATCTTGTAAAGGTACAGCTCATAAAAGATGCGATAGTATAGGTCGTTATTTTGTTATTATGTTAGTAATTAGGTAGAATTCTGAATTACCGTAAAGGTAGAAATTTCACGTGACTTTAACTGAGATATACTCTTCAACATGTAGAACGTGCCGAACTACTTTCACTGTAGGAGTTGGGTACGTGATGTGTCATATTACTCATCGCTCGCTATGTGCTCGTGATCACGTGCCCAATACTAGAGACAGAGTCCACCAGTTACTGGAGTCATAGCTGTTAAACAAGGGTGATATTCAAGGTCTCGTACACGACCATGGATTTTGTGAACTTTTCTCCTGCATGTTGTAATTTTGCTTATGATATTTATTTTAAGTTTATTCATTGCTACCTCTGTTTATTTATCTTGATTATATATTTTTTTATAATTGGTTAATGCACCCAAATCCTTTTTTTCATTGAAGACAGTAAAATTTCAGCGTTGTGAATGGTCGTATGTCGACTTCACTGACACATACCAGCAAACCGCGCCCGTAACGAGGTGACGAACTACGTACAGCAGAAAATTCAGTGGTGTGGAGTTTTTCTGTTTGCATGCCGTATAAATAAACGTTTACTTCCAGAACCACTTCTGTGGACATATGTTACAGTAATGCTTGTGCCTTGTTCAAGATTAAAACTAGGAAAAAATAAGTCAATGATTTGATCTGGGATAGTTATTGTTTTAGGTTAATGCTACGTTCAGCTGTATACGGTTCTCAAAACAACTTTTAACTGTTTATTCTTCTATATAATATATACTGTAATTTGTTAAGCCTTAAGTTGCAGGATGGCTTTACGTTTGGACAGCACAAGACCCTTAAGGAATGATCGGAAAACATCGGTAAGTTACAATATTTATGTCGTGTTTGTGGTTTGTAGAATAAATATAAAAAATAACCAAGAACAACTTGAATGGACATTGTTGAGGGAAGGTTTAGAATCGTTGATGAGAATAGCATTCTTTTCCTTAACCCCTATTTATTGCTTTCTGGGGGAGTGGGTTGTTCCTGTGGTAGAGCTCCGGATTTCAGTGATGGCGAGCCGGGTTCGAATCCTTGCGATAACACCAAACACTTCTCGCCTTTTAAGCTGTGGATGCGTTATAAAAGTGATAGTAAATCCCTTAGCATGGATGGTAGGTAGTATAACGCTTCTGACCGAGCACCTTCCTTCAAAATAGGGACGTCGGCAGATACCCTTAGTAGCTTTTCTATAAATGCAAATAGAAACAATACTACAACCTCCAGAAATAATTCGGAAGTATTTGGTGAAATTGGAACCATTACAAAACGATATTGCGTTGATTTTGTAACTTTAAATTTGTTGAATTCAGGAACGAGTGATTTAAGCATTCTAATAAATATTTTTTTATTTGTATATTTCTATATACTTCTTTTAGGGTTAATAAGAAAGTACATCTCAAAAATGTTTTTAAGTGATTAAAATTAAAAAATGAGAAACTTTAGCATCTATGCTGAATTATTTTTCAAAATCAAAGCTGTACGATTACAAATAGGTAACTACATCGAGTGCTTTAAAAATCATATTTTAATTGATCTGATAAAGAAGTCCCATTATGTAGAGTTATTATAATAAATAAGTAAGTACATCGGGAGCTTTAAAAATCATATTTTAATTGATCTGCTAAAGAAGTCCCATTATGTAGAGTTATTATAATAAATAAGTAAGTACATCGGGAGCTTTAAAAACCATATTTTAATTGATCTACTAAAGAAGTCCCATTATGTAGAGTTATTATAATAAATAAGTAAGTACATCGGGAGCTTTAAAGATCATATTTTAATTGATCTACTAAAGAAGTCCCATTAATAGAGTTATTATAATAAATAAGTACATCGGGAGCTTTAAAAACCATATTTTAATTGATCTACTAAAGAAGTCCCATTATTTAGGGTTATTATAATTTTTTTTAATTAATTGAAAGAGACTATGCTTATGATAATTCATTAGTTTACATGAGAAAGTCATATATTTGTAGAACCAAAGTTTTATTGCAGTAAAACCCACACAATTGTGTTGGCCTTAAATAAAGCATTCGACTTGTAGTTAGATGTATATACGTATATATATTGATTCTTCTGTAGAAGCGTGTTAATTTTTTCATAATAACATCACTGAAACAGCAAACAATAATAAATAATACGTTCGGTTACCAGACGTCCCATACCGTGGATGAATCATAACCATTGAGTAAGTTTATGTGGTTCCGTGAATTTCCCTTGCTACGGGCATGTATAAACAAAACAAGCCGTTAGAACACGTGTACAAAATTCAACTGTAGAAAATCTTAGGAAATTATTCTGTTGGGTTTTGAGTAATATTTTGTTGATCACATTTTACAAAAAAAAACAAAATTAATAGTTTTTAAAAATAATTTTTTTGAGGAATATAATCATCGATGGGAAGTTGTTGTAGAAGAGTATGTCTTTAATTATGAATATAACCCACCAGTGGCACAGCTGTAAGTCTGAAAACTTACAACATTAAAAATTAGGGTTTCAATACCCGTGGTAGACACAGCATATTGTTTAACTTTGCGCGTAACTACAAACAAACAAACAAATTATGAATATAACCCACCAGTGGCACAGCTGTAAGTCTGAAAACTTACAACATTAAAAATTGGGTTTCAATACCCGTGGTAGACACAGCATATTGTTTAACTTTGCGCGTAACTACAAACAAACAAACAAATTATGAATATAAGCTTTAACAACAAGCCATTTTATTTTTTTTCCTGAAAATATCTACTTTTTATAGGGTAGTGATATACATTATGTCATTTCATGACAACGCCCAATTCAAGGTTTTATAAAATTTCTAAAATGAAAATCATTCTTAGAAGAACAAAACGCTGCTGCTTCCCGACTGATGTGGAAATAAAACCAGGTTCAAGATCAGTCAAAACATAGTAGTGAACTGAACAAATGAGTGTGTAAGTGTATACATTGACGGGATTAAATGTTTTAAATATAATGCACAAACAGAAATCTGAGAACAAAATTGTGACTAAAAATTAACTTAAGGTAACTATTTGAAGTTATTAATAAGATCTTCTGAGCAACAGTAGCGAAGAGTGGGTAATAATAATATTGTCAACCACACTATATATGCTATAACCAGAATCGACAAGGAGTTTCGCCCAATACCAGGGCTCTTCAGGGCTGCTGGGATACAACTAAATATAGTAGTGGTTGAGATGCTACTTATATGAACTAGATTACATTGGTGAAATGTAACGTTTGATCAGTTTTTATTTTTGTTACAATAAATCCGAATTAGGGTAAGATTTTTTTGAACAGTATATTATTTAATCATTACAACACCGTATTTAATTGGTTACTATTTTATTATTATCGTGAATTAATCTGCTCATTACGAAGAATAAGTTAATCTTATTCATCCCAGAGCAGTGTCGTAGATAGGACGCACACATTGAGGGCGCAATGACAAGCTCAAAGGGCGCGAGTACATTGTAATCATTTTCAGTTTTCGTTATAAATTTATGGTATCATTTATTGATGTTCCTTATTAATTCATAAACGAATTAACTCATGAAAAAAATCTTTGATATCCGACAACGATTCAGTTTTAATTCTTATTTTATTAATAAACGAACGATTAACGTTGCATCGATCAATAACAATTTATTTGAAATCTAACGAATCTGAATAATCCACGTCAGCGGTATACAGCCGTCGATGCGATAAAAAAAGAATAAAAATCCGAAAGCATAAGTACAAATATATTTTATTTTATAAATATTGATTTACAGCAACTATTACTTCGGTTACCGAATATTTTTATACACGAGTACGTTGGAATTATTCAAGTTCGAAAAAATTATTTAAATTGGAAAAAATAAAGAGACATTATTTTATTTTTTAATGCAGACTGTTAGAGGGCGCATTGCGCCCTTCCGCGCCCCCGTTGCTAAGGCACTGTCCCAGAGCAACCGTAGAGTCAACAAGACAAGGCTACATTAGTCATTATTAATTAGAACTGTTAGCTGTTGTATATGATAGACACAGTAGTGTTTGAAACGCCTTATCAGCAAATCGCCAACAGTTGTTTTAGTGTAAACAACATTAAGCTGGTGAAATGTAATTTTTTTTCATCAGTTTTATTTTCTGTCACAACAAATCTGAATTAGGGTAAGAATTCAAAACAGTATATTGTGTATCTATGTTAACGTCATACTTCATTATTATGAAATAACCTGCCCATTGTAATGTGATCATCTGTTTTGTTCGACCAATATTCCCAATTTGTGAAGACTTGAGTTTTTACGACTGGCCATCTGACGGCAACCTATTGTAACTTGGCTTGGGACCAGATGATGAACGTGGCGGATGTTGAGGTGTTAAAGAAAGACTGTATCAGGATTTAGAGAGAGGGTGAAAGTAGCATCAGTTATGGAGAAGATGAGAGAATCTTGTCTCAGATGGCTCGATCATGTGGAAAGAAGAGACGAAACGTAAGTTGGAAGAAGAGTGATAAATATGACCGTGGAAGAGAAAAGGACAAGAGGAAGACAGGAGAAAAGGTGGATGGATGTAGTGAGAGAGGACATGAGAAAATCCGGACAAGAGGAAGACAGGAGAAAAGGTGGATGGATGTAGTGAGAGAGGACTTGAGAAAATCCGGACAAGAGGAAGACAGGAGAAAAGGTGGATGGATGTAGTGAGAGAGGACATGAGAAAATCCGGACAAGAGGAAGACAGGAGAAAAGGTGGATGGATGTAGTGAGAGAGGACATGAGAAAATCCGGTGTGAATACTCT